TGTTTCATGAGAGGATCAACGACATTGAAGCTGACTTTGGACTTGTTCTCTTCACCTGATCTGAATGATTCTGATCTCATTGGAATAAGTTCCGTATGTTAACCATCCGTCTATACTTTTGCAAATCAAAACAATACAATCTCCTTGTTCTTCCGAGGAAACATTGCATTCTTTTTTGAACTCGATTAAGATTTTCTGATTTTGTATCAGCCATCATAATGCGCACTGTGAATTCGTAAGCTTATGTACTGCAATTTTGTCTATTGGTGTATAACTGTTTGGATAAGTAAAGTAGTAACTATTGGCATCCTGGATTTAACACAACATAATTATTTGGTGCAGATATTTTGCATTTTGGCTTGCTGTTTTGGGAGGCAAATTTAGTTTTGCTTATTTTCTACTAGTAAGTTTCAAGTAATGTTTCATTATGCTTTTGTGGTAGTAAGTTTATATCATGCTATATGTGACTATGCTTTAGATTAAGCCCTTGGTGAGTCCCACAAGGTTTGTGGTTGGAATGGATATTCAGCAGTACTCGTGGCATGATTTTGTTTCCAAAAGTAAGATACTCTTGCCCCAAGCTCTCTGTTTGATTTATTGTAGACTCAAAAGTTAATGTTATTGGAGAAAAACAAACTTTTCAATTTTGCACATAGAAAGTGAACTAGAAATAAAAAAGTGGTTTTTGCATTCCGTTTTTGTTCCCTAAATTTTCCTTGCTCAATCAATGTATAAACTAGAAATAAAAAAGTGGTTTGCTAGGAAAAACAATTTTTTACCAAGTGGAAACACAATATGGTATGTGCTCATTTTTACTTGGTTACTTTTAAAGGAGAAAGGGTGAGAATGTAGCTCAGAAAATATATTGAGATTTGTAAAAAAAATAAATGGCTTATATTTTGAACTTTTTTGAGATGTGCTTATTCTTATACTCTATGATTTTGGTTTACAAACACAATTCATTGGGTTTTGCAGTGGGTGGAATGATGTACTACCGAAAAGCTCTCATGCTTCAAGCATATTTGGAAAGTGTGGCAGCTCAAGGTTATCATATACGAGATGAAGTTATTATGTTCTAATGTTCTTTTTCACATTAGTCATTACTGTGGTTGTTTACTAATAATACTCTGGTACATGCATCATTAGATTCTGAGGCTGCAACTTCACAGAGCAAAGCAACTGATACCCAAGGTTTTGAGTTGTCTCTTCAAGCAAGAGCTCAAGTAGATCTCAAATTTACCTATGTAGTTACCTGCCAAATATATGGGAAACAGAAAGAGAAGCAAAAGCATGAGGCTGCGGATATTGCATTACTAATGCAAAGGTGATCAAATGGCAATCTCTTTTATTTAGAAATTAATTGATGAGGCTGCGGATATTGCATTACTAATGCAAAGGTGATCAAAAGCAACTGATACCCAAGGTTTTACTCTTAAAAGATTACGAAAATAAGTAACACGGAATTTCTTTTGGAACGGAGAAAAAAGGCAAACAGGCTATTTAAAATGGGACGGAGGGAGTAATATTTTTCTTTGTTTTAATTCTATTTATGGTGATTTCTTCTAGTACTCTCTAACCATTTCTCTTAAAAGGCGCGAATGTGTTTTCAAAATTTGATTATCTTAGAATGGGATGTGGTTGTCGGCCCGAGTTGTTGTTACTTGTAGAAAGACTAAAGTACGACTAAAATATTGAAAACATGCCAAAATGGGACTTCCATATTTTTATTCTCGAAATAGGACTTACATTACCAAACATGGTCATGTTCATTACCAAAAAAATATAGTAATGTGCACATGTACAGTGTCACATTACCACCGTGCAAAGTTCTATTTCGAGAAAAAATCATGAAAGTTATATTTTGATATTTTTTTCTATGTCTTAGTCTTAGGGTTGATTTCTATGTGCAATTGGAGCCGGGGGTCTCTTGGAAATAGCCTCCCTACTTCCGAGTAGGGGGAAGGTCTGCGTACACATACCCCCTAGACCTTATTGTAGTGAGATTCAACTGGACTGTTGTTGTTATTGTTCTATAGATTATATTGAAAACGAAAAGTGAATGCTTTTATATTGTTTTTGAACAAAAACAGCAAAACATGGTTGTCTTGGTACTCTCAATTTTTTAAATTTTGTGATAAAAACTCGCACGTCTTATTATTTTTCAAAATATAAATTGAGGTATCTAAAAATATTTGAAAAGTTACTCAAGTCGGGAAAACAATCTGTCCGTATGGTATCTCCGCCAAACTCAATTCCCTGTTATCTTCTTCTTCATCACCACTGCACCTTTCGATCTTCTTTTTCTTTATTCTTTCATCACCACTGCACCTTTCGATCTTCTTCTTCTTTATTTTTTCCTTCCCATCCGATACAGCCCCCCCCCCTTTCTATTTTTTGTTTCTAATTATTATTTCTTCCTCTTCTATTATGATTATTATTATTTGCTATTAATTATTATTATTATTATTATTATTGTGATTAGAAATTGAATTAGTAATTTTATTACTCTAGTTTTTTTGGAAAAGTAGCTAGCGGTACTTATTATTATTACTTCATACTCCATTAATTATT